AATACATTTTTGTTCTAGTTTTAGAAAAATGTACCCCTGTTTCTTTGCATTTGACCATGTGAACTATTCTTTTTGGAGAACATTATATTTGTTGGACATATACAAACTTGCTGATAAGGCTCCAGAATTACATGAAGACTTTATGAGAAGAAATTTTGTTATGAAAAGTTTGAACAGCAACTTTAACCAACTATTTGTAGATCCAGCTTGAAACATATAAATACAACTCAAAAGATGCAGGAGGAATCGTGGGATTGACTAAAACCAACACAAATCTAGACGAATGATTGTTGAGCTACAACATGATTGGCATGATGGTAGATGAATTTCGTGCATCATGAGACTTAAGCAACCACTTAACTCAAAACGTAGAAAATGGAAAAAAAATAAACGGATGAAAATTAATGAATATTCTGTACAAAAACTACATGACCAGTTTTTTTACGATTTAATGTATTTTTCAAAAGCGTAGATCGTCTTCTCTTAATTTCAGCTAATGAGATTGCATTGCCAAATATTCAAATACCCTTACTTAAATAAACAAAAAAAAATGGAGGAGAGTCTAGCAAAATTTATTCTTACTGTTAGAGCTCCCAATTTTTATCAGCATACAAGAAGTACTTTCAACACTTCCAACACTATAAAACTGTCTCTGAAAAGAAAAAAATTATTCAAGCTGAACAAGAGCTTTTACAAAAAATACTAACAACCAAGGCAATTGAAAGTAACATAAATATTATGAGAATATTTTCAAATATGAATTTACAGCACATCCAATGTCACTTGTACCTGTAACAGTTTAATGGATACCATCAAATAAATCTGCCTTAGGTTCTATAATAGGACAGTTTACAGTTATGTCTAAATATCTACCATTACCATTATAAAGTAACAAAAGTGTCACATTCTTGAAGGTATGAGCTTAATCCAAGCCGTTGGCAAACCCTCCAACTGCAAATCATTTGGCGACTATGCAAGAATTTTAAAATCAATAGTGTTCAAGAACCTCTACAACCCTAAAAGGATTGGTTTTGTATTTGACCAGTACTAACAATCTTTGTACTAGTCCATATAAACATATAAACTTTCTCCTACTTCAGACAGTATAAATATATAATATTCGTGTACATACTCATCCAAACGAAGGTATGAGTATGTAGCCTGACACCAAGATTTGACTGCCGAATCTGTTGCTGCTAACTGGCTGGAGTAAAGAAAATGTAGACCTGGTACCAGTTTTAAGCACGGAATCCAAGTTGAAGAAACATGCATACATATACTGTACTCCTAATAGGTATAAAAGATGAGTTTATTTTTACCTTTTTGTGACGAATAATTATTATATTGGTTTTTTAAATTATCAGACTGTACGGGGGCTCAAATACTCGTGTAAACGGAAACGAGATCCAATTCATTGGTTCTTGTAAATATATTATGGCCCAAGTGAAATGTTACAAAAAAGGTGATACACGTAAACAATTTTAACCATAGAGAGTGTTACTTCTTTTTATAGTAATGAAAAGTCTAACATAGAGTAAGATAACTAACACAAGATAATAATTAAGAAATAGGTCTCTCTCTTCAATCCTGACCCCCCAGGGGTAGTGTAGTGGTCGACGTGATGTCGTGTATTGGCCGTTTCCAGAGATCTCTGTCTCTGGTCATTTCTTTTAATTCATGCATAGGTCTTTGGCATATTCCTGTAATTTGATCTATCCATCTTGTTGGGGATCTTCCTCGTGATCTTCGGCCTTCTACCTTTCCTTGTATTATGAGTCTTTCCATGTTGTCTGTGTTTGCTCTCATAACACGCCTAAAATATTTTAATTGTTGGAGATGGACTTTACTAGAGAGTCGTTGACTAACTTTTGGCTCTCTTAAAATTGAATTATTTGTTCTGCGGTCGGTCCAAGGAATTCGTAACATTCGTCTCCAACAGAACATTTCAGTGGCGTCTATCTTTCTTCTCTCCGATTGTCTCAGAGTTCAAGATTCACATCCGTAGGTCAGTATTGGGAATATTAAGCAGTTGATCAACCTCATCTTTATCGCTCTTGAAATTTGACAGTCCTTCCATATTTTGGTCATTTTTGCTATGGCAACTTTTGCTAGATCAGATCAACGTTTAATCTCTTCTTGTAATGACCCTGTGTTTGTGATTAATGATCCCAGATATAAGTATGAGCTCACAACCTCGAACCGGTCAATTGTGGTTATGTGTGGATGATTGTTGTGTAGTCTATCCACTA